ATAAATTAAATAAAGTTATTATGTCCGTCTGCAAATAAAAATGTTTAAAAAAGAAAATATAATATATGAAAGGGCAAAGGAGAAAGCTGCAACCAGTTAGCAAGCTACTATATCCAAATAAAAGATGGCAGGACTTTGTACCATGCTAGGACTGGTGAAGGTAGGGTTCACATAGCCTAAGACAGATCTGATATTAACTGGTTGTTATGGTTTAGAGGTAAGGTGTCCCCCAAAAGCTCATGTGTGAGACAATGCAAGAAGGTTTGTAAGAGAAATGATTGTATTATGGGAGTCTTAATCCAAGCAGTGAATTAATCCCCTGATAAGGATTAACTGAGTGGTACCTGAAGTGGTAGGGTGTAGCTAGAGGACACAGCAATTGGGGTGTGGCTTTGGGGTATATATTTGTATCTGGTAAGTGGAGATATCTCTCTTTGCTTTATGATCAACATGTGAGCTGCTTCCCTCTGCCACATTCTTCTGCCATGAGCCCAAGGAATGGAGTCTGCTGTCTATGGATTGAGACCTCTGAAATTGTGAGACCATAAATAAACCTTTCCTCTTCCACAGTTGTTCTGGTCTGGTCCTTTAGTTGCAGCAGCAAAAAAAAAAAAAGAAAAGACTGAAACACTGGTTGTTGCACAGGGCAAGAAAAATTAGGATGATTTTTTTCTAAATTATAATTGATCAGGTAGCCAGTGTCAAAGATGGGAGTTCAATTCCCACGTGGCTACAGCCTAACTCCTGATGTTCTCTGGCCCCCTCTGAACATATGATACAGACCATAAAGGGACTGGGCAAGGTTAAGGGTAATGCCACTTAACTATATCACCCTGACTAAAATAACTGAAGGGAGTCCACAATCTTAATAAGAAGTTAGATATATAAGCAAACACTCAAATACCAATTAAAAAATAATTCTGTGAATTATTCAAATGCTTTTTACATATAACATCTGGGTCTTGAAATACGGATTCTATTGTCAATAAATGTGCTAAACACTAGAGGGAAATGAATAAAGATAAGCTCAGTCTAGTGGGGAGAAAAACATGGAAACAGTGACATCATGGTGTTTAGAGAAATAAGTTGGGTTGTGCACAAGGAGTTGCAGAAACATGTCTAAAATCTCTTGGGAGGACATGAGGAAGAAAGGGAACCACTAGGGTGGGGTTCGATGAGGAGTTATGATTGGACTATAAAGATTGAGTGGACATTTGCCATACAGAATCAGGGACTGAAGACAAGGAAGAAGCATATTCTATACAGAAGGACTAGACTATGTAAAGGAATATGAGAACATAGTTCTTTTGAGAGATCACAAGCAATGGCTAGAATATAAAATATGGTCATACAATAACAATAATAGTACATATTTGATGAACACACACCATGTGTTCCTGGCACTGTCTTAAGCATGCATGTGGATCATCACATTTAATATTATAAGTATTATAATAATGAAAAAACTGACTTATACAGAGGTTAGGTAACTATCCCAAGGGCCTCAGTGCTCATGAGGTAGATTCAGGCCTCATGTCCTAAGATTCTAGAACCTGTACTCTTTAACATACAATGCTATGAGGAAGTGGAGGCAGATGAAAATACAAAGGTAGGCAGGAGTCAAGTAATGGCTAGCATTACAAATCATGAAGAACCACTGAAGGGCTAGGGATATAGCTCAGTAGTAGAGTGGTTGACTAGCATGCATGAAGTCCTAGGTTCAATCTACAGCACTGCCAAAAAAGAAAGAAACACTGAAGGGTTTCTATTTGTGAAGTGAAAGCTGATCATATTTGCATTTGGAAATATCTCACTGGTGACAGTATGGAAGATGAATCAGAACAGACAAGAAATGAGAAAGATCATTTAGAAGGCTACTGCAATAATCCTGGCCAGACCATAGGAACCTGAACAAAAGCAGTGAGAAAGTAGATGAGCCAATGTCAGAAGAAAGAGGCAACAGAGGAGGAAGGGTAGGTTGGGGGATGGCTAGATGTGAATTCAGTTGAAAACACATTAAGGATGAGGCATCTGGGAGTCATCCAAGTCCAGAATTAGGCAGACCCACAATTCAGGAGCCCAAGAGGTAGGAGGCAAAACCAGAGGTACAGGTTACAGCAAATGCTTTTTTTTTTCCCTGTGTGTGCACCAGGGAACCTGAGAGGATTCCATGATGGTATCATCTGAGGATCTTCCACAACCATTCCCAAATAACGATTCTTTGAAAGCTCACTGTTTTCCCCAGGATAGACTGCAAAATTCCAAAAGATACATATAGAGAATCATTTGGGCTACCCCAAATCACAACACTAATCTGAATAGATCTTGGTGCTGCTACCATCTCAATCTAATTAATTCTCCCTACTTCAGGTCACCAGAAAAACTAGCTGATGGTACACTCTAGGGAGCCCCAGAGCAGTGGAACTCTACCCCAAACAATGCAGGTAGCTCAAACTCTGAATTCCTAAAAAAATGGCTCCTTGGTTTAGCAAAGCATTAAAAACATGCCTTATTAACATTCTGAATGCACTGGTTTGGCAGCAAGATAACATTTTTTTAAATTTTTTAGTTGTAGTTGGATCCAATACCTTAATTTTATTTATTTATTTTTATGTGGTGCTGAGAATCAAACCCAGGGCCTAGCACATGCCAGGCAAGCGATCTACCACTGAGCCACAACCCCAGCCCCCAAGATAACATTTTTAAGTATCTTTTTATCACCAAACTTGTATTCAATTTGTTTTCTCATTTAAAATCAATGAAGCCAGGCACAGTGATATATGCCTACAGTCCCAAATACTTGGGGGCCTGAAGTAGGAAGATTACCAAGTGTGAGGTTACCACCTTGAGCAACTTAGTGAGGCCCTGTCTCAAAACAAAAAATAAAAAGGGACTGGGGACGTAGCTCAGTGGTAAAACACCCCACAGTTCAATCCCCAGTACCAAATATATAAAGAAAGAAAAGAATACCAGGCACAGTGGCACATGCCTATAATCCCAACAACTTGGGAGGCTGAGGCAGCAGGACTACAAGTTTGAGGTCAGCCACAGTCACTTAGAGAGACCCTCAGCAAATCAGCAAAACCCCCCATCTCAAAAATAATAAAGTAGGGGTGGGGCTATAGTTCAGTGATAGAGTGCTTGCCTAGCACGTGAGGCACTGGGTTCAATCCTTAGCACCACATTTAAAAAAAAAAAGATGGGCTGGGGTTGTGGCTCAGCGATAAAGCACTCATCTAGCACGTGTGAGGCCCTGAGCTCAATCCTCAGCAACACATAAAAATAAATAAATAAAATAAAAGTATTGTATCCAAATACTTCTTAAAAATAAATATTTTTTAAAAGAATAAAATAAAAGTTAAAATTCTTTTAAAAAAATAAAAAAGTAAAAGGACTAGTGACATAGTTCAGAGTAAAGCACTACTGGGTTTAATCCTCAGTACCAAAAAGTTAATGAAATGAATTAAATGAGTTTTCTCATTTAAAGTGAATTAATGAATGAATGAGTTTCTAATCATTTGGGATTCTTGTAATGCCAACCCCATTTCCAAGCCTCAGCCATAGGTCTCTAGGAATACTGCTGAATAAATCTACCAATAAATGAAGAAAATCATCATTAACAAATTTTATAAAACTTATTTTCACTACAACTTCCTTAAACCAAATATATGAAATGCAAGTTTGCTTACAGAATATTAAAGCATGAAATAGCAGCTCCATTTTTTTCCACTTGTAATGTTTTCACACTCATTTTGTATAATACCTATCCTCTGAGGCTCTATAGAAACTGCCTCTGCCTATCCAATCTTATGTTCCCCTGTACCCTTAAAAAGTACTCTGAGGGGCTGGGGTTATAGCTCAGTGGTAGAGCACTTGCCTTGCATATGTGAGGCACTGGGTTCGATCCTCAGCACCACATAAAAATAAATAATATATATATATATATATATTTTTTTTTTTTTTTTTTGAGCAATCTCCAGAGAGAAAGCTCTAATGCAGCTTTCTCTGGGTCATCTTTTATTGCAATTTTTCTCATTACTATGGATTCAGAATATGTCATTGATTTTACAATTTCCAAATTTTGCCAAGATGTGACATTTCCTTAACAATCATTAGGGGTAGAGAAAAATGTGACATCAATTTACATTTTTCCAGGATGTGACATTTTCTTATTATTATGGGTACAAAATCATTGATAAAATATGTCACTTATTTGAATTTTTCAGATTTTTCCAAGATGTACTATTTTATTATTAATAGATGCAGTAAATATATTTTTTTAAAAAAAGTACTCTGAATAAAATGGTCAAATGAGGACAACAATCTGAGTCAAGATACCTGGTAGTTGGTATGAGAGATTAATTTAACATCTCTATATCTCTAGGCATTAAGTTACCCATATGTAAAATATATTTAGTAATTTATGCTCTACTGGAATGACTGCATAAGAAAATGGATATAAAAGTAATTCAAGAAACAACAAAACCAAGTTCCTACCAACTGCACTTGGAATCCTCACGTTCTAACTCTCTACTCAACCAAATTCTACCCCTTTGTGCCTGACATGCATACTCACTTCTCTTAACAACTACATCACCTTTCTCGTTTTTGATCATATAATTGGAACCACACTGCTCCCTTTGGAGTCTCTCCTGACTGTAAGAGGATGGGTTTGTTCCCTGACCTCCAACAACTGAAAGCTCCTCTAGAACAGAGACCATTCCTGGCCTTGGTGCTGCCCTCCATTCACATCAGGTAGCCCTCAGTCATGACTCCCTGACAACAAATGAGGCTTAAACAATATGTTCCCAGCTAAAAATGTACCATGCAGCCCATTTATAATTCCATAGATTATACAGCACTGGTTCTAAACAGGTCACCAAAATTGTGGCTGAATGATCCCAAAATAGGCATGACCCTGACTTTCCTGGACATCATATCACTTTCTGGATGTGAGCTGCTCCAAGCATACTGACTCTATTAGTCCTTGGATGAGTTACCTGCACCACTGTTGCTAAGCAGGCTGACAGAAAGTTCTTCTGTTCCACTGAAGTTCAAGAAGGACAAGCTGTCACCAGGCTGGCGGGAAGTGCTGTGCCTGCAGAGAACAGAGCCCAGCCACCTGGCTTAATGAACATCATCAACTCTTTCTCCTGCTTACCCTATACCCCAGTGGGGATGTTAGGTAGAGAAGTCATGAAACAGGCCTGAAATTTAGCCCCAGAGACTGACAATCCTTGGGATCCATATCTCTAGCCATCAGGTGAAGATGCTTCATTGTGTGCCAGCTATGGCCTCTTCCCCTGGCACTCTGGCCACTTTCCCATAGCCATGTTAGACCACCAGACCTTTCTGTCTTCTGCCTCCCTCTGACTGACAAGGATGCATGTGAGATGTTTGAATAGGTATACCAGGGTTAATGTGGTAAAGAGGGCCACACTCTGCCCTGAGCACTCAGCCAACCCACAAGATGTCAAGGTGACTAAAAGAGAGGCCAAAGAGGGCAGGGGTTTGCACTTGCCTAGTATGCACCAGGCCCTGTGTTTGATCCCTAGCACCAAAAAGTAGGGGTGGGGGTAGGGGCAAAGACCACTTTTTGCAAGTGTTTCCAAACAATACAGAAACAGTGAGTATAAGTATAACCTGGGCTCATGCTTGTCAAGTCTTAAATGACTTTCTTCCTACACTGACTATCTTTAGATGCCTTATAAACACATTCAGACTCTGGTTCAAAAAGACTTTTTTCCATAAAAAAACGAGGCCTTAATCTCATTTTTTTTCCCATTAACTTCTTTTAAACTCAACAGTGAAATTTCTTAGTGATCAAAATGACAAGTCACAGGGACACTGCCCAAAATGACAGCATATACCTGTCTCAGTACCCCAAATTCAAAGCCCTTTCTCTCTTGTTTGCATCCTTGACTAAGGTTTAAGGTTTACAAAGTGCAACCTCAAAATGAACCTAAATCAGGGTCAAGGTAATACCACAGGCAAAAATGTCAAGCAGTTGGCTTTATATTTCATCCAGGAAGTGGCTGAAGAAGACCTCATATTACCTTTTCAAGTCTTATAAACATGATACTTTGTGAGTAGTCTGTTTTGCACATTATCCTGGGTGCCAAGAGTGTTCTGAGGTTACCTTCCAGAGCCCTGTGCACATTCTCACCTTCCAGCTGCTTCATGATATGCTAACTCCAACAGCTCTGCAGAGGAGTGAGTTGGATCCCTCTGCCCACTGCCCTGCAGCTCCGCCATATTCTGCCGGGTCTGATGATGGATCTGAATGGCCTCTCCAGATGGTCCTACCCAGACAAAGAACCACAAAGGATGGTTAGTTCTATGTACTTAACGGCAATCTTCCTTCTTACCAGCAGAAGGGATATAGGTATTAGGAAACTCAACAAAGGGCACACCACAAAAGAACATTATAAAAGGAATCCTCTGGTTCCCAGAAAGAACACCTCCCCCTCCAAGCAAGATTGGTGCTACTAAGGAACCTCATGTTTATCATCCTGCTTAATCTGTTAACATTTCAGAAGCCTCTGTCTCATGCATGCTAACAGAGATACAGAGAAATACAGAAGTACAGGAGAATTAACACAAACTAAATGAGAAGAAAACATGAATGAAACATCAAATGACTCTATTAATACTTAAGAAAATAACAAGTGATTCTAAGAAGCAGAAGATTCTGAAGTGCAAAAAAGAGCATGAGAGATCAGAATTAGCCAAATCTATTTAAATAAGTTTCCTAGAAACAGAGATTTTAGAGCTAAGTGTTAAACAAGATTAACAGGGGTTGAAGGAAAAGGGTAGGAGAAATGACATCAGCGTTTAGTTGGGAAAGGATAGTGTCTCTGAAGAGGAAAATAAGAAGACAGGAAGTTAAGGAGAGAGGAAGTTGAGGAGCCTAGCAATGGAGGGCCTTAGCTATTAGAGAATCAGATGGAAAAGAGGATGAAACAAAGTCAACATTGTTTGGAGATTGTTGTTTTAGTAACTGTGAAGGGTGCAAGGAGGAAAAAGCACAGAAGCTGGAAGAGTTGAGGGTCACAGAAGAAAGTTCTCTCAAGAGGTCTCAAAGCAAACCAATGGGGAAAACATGGAGAGAAAAGACAGCAGAAAGAAGCAAGTAGTCTCATTATCTCTTGTTACCTTTTCTCTGCTATAAGAGGGTAGAAGAGATTTGGGAATGACCTCCAATTTTAATCAAATTAACCAGATTAATTTCTCATTTTTTAAACTTTTAAACAGTAAAAGAAAGTGCAAAAAGAAAACAGATACTTCCAAGCATTCAGCAGGATGCTTTCCATTTAAAAAAAAAAAAAAAAAAAAAAACTGGAGCATCAGACACGGTGGCGCAGGTTTATAATCCCAGCGGCTCAGGAGACTGAGGCAGGATGATCAAGAGTTCAAAGACAGCCTCAGCAATGGCAAGATGCTAAGCAACTCAGCGGGACTCTGTCTCTAAATAAAATACAAAACAGGGCTGGGGATGTCGCTCAGTGGTCAAGTGTCACTGAGTTCAATCCCCGGTACCAAAAAAAAAAAAAAAAATATGGAGGTAATTCATGTTACTTCTTAACCCAGTAAGAGCTGATTAATCTGAAGTTTAATTTTAGTTACAGCTTTATAAAACCTTGCCATCATCTTCTTGACAACAGAAGACAGATCAAAAAGAATGTCCCCTCAGCACCACATAAAAATAAATAAATAAATAAATAAAAGTATTTTTTTAAAAAAAGAATGGCCTAGGGAAAAAATTGAATTTTTAAAAAACTTCTTCAAAGCTGGACACACTGGCACATGCCTGTAATTCCAGCAACTTGGGAGGGTAAGACAGGAGATGCAAGTTTGAGGACAGCCTCAGCAATGTGGCAAGGCTCTAAGGAATTTAGCAAGACCCTACCTCAAAATTTAGAAAAATAAAAAATAAATAAAAAGAATTGGGGATGTAACTCAATAGTAAAGCACCCCTGGGTTTAATCCCCAACACCAAATGTATATATAATATATATACACACACACACACATATATCTTTTTTTCTTCAGTTATCAGAAACCTCTAAGAGAAGACATAAGCTTATAACAAAGACAATAAGATCAATATACAGAGAGAACAAAAAGAAAAAAGAATGAAGAGACTTTAGGCCTTAAGAAAGAAAGTAGGTGGCAAAGCATAGACCTTTTCAAATAGGGGGGAAAAAAGAGTCCTTAGGTTAATATACCTAGTGAGGTACAAAGCCTATTCCCAAATACATCTTCAAGAATCCTCAAAAGAACCCCTGATATTGTCAAGTTTATCCCCATTTCACTGGTGACAAAGGTTCAGAAAAGTAGAAGCACTTAACAAAAGTCACACAGTCGATTAATATGGAAGAGTGGGGCCAAGAACTCCTAGTTCAAGGCACTTTCCTGTGCAACCAACTTACCCACAGGAAAAGTGTGCATCCAACGTCTTCTATTGGACGTGAGCTTCATAGGCATCCGTGAGGGGGCAAAGGGGTTAATCAGCGCTCTCTGGGGTGTGTATCCACCAGGTCGAACATGTAGCATGGACTCTGCACTGCCTACATGAAACCTCCCTGGTGCACTGGAGTCTCGCTGTGGTGGCTCCATCATGTTCTCCAGGACATCTGAAAGTTATCATGGAGTTGAGCCACAAAGACAAATTATAGAACCACAATGAAACCAAAACTAGGTGTACTAATAGCTGAGGTTGACAAGAATTTTGGACATCATAAATGTCAGAAAGTGACAGAAATGAGTAAAACTGCTAAAAAACATACACAAATTTAACATGTTTAATTTTTTAAATACTTAGGAGAAGGGGATTTTCACTCTTGAAATACTGGCCCAGTGAATTACAAACCCAAAGGGGAAAACCACACATCACCTGGAGACCCTGGTCTTTTACCTAGATACAGTAACTAAATAATGGAATTTTAGTTGTTTCCATTAGGGACAGGTTGAGTATATTTTTCTTTGGGGACCACAGGAGGATACTAGGGATTGAACCCAACAGGGCTTTACCACTGAGCTACATCCCCAGTCCTTTTTATTTGGAGAAAGAGTATCATCACGTTGCTAAGGCTGGCCTCGAATTTGCAATCCTCTTGCCTCAGACTCCCAAGGTTGCTGGGATTACAGGTGTGTGCCACCATACCTGATAGGATAAGTGTATTCTTTATGTGGAAGAAACAATAAAAATAAATATTTAAGCCAGGCATAGTGGTGCACACCTGTAATCCCAGTGACTCAGAAGGCTGAGACAGGAGGATTGTCAGTTCAAGGCTAACCTTAGCAACTCTGCAAGACCCTGTTTCAAAATAAAAAACAAAAAGAAGTGCAAACATAGCTCAGTGGTAAAGCACTCTTGGTTTCAATTCCCAGTATAATCATTCAACAAACATAAATTATATATATATATATATACACACACACACACACACACACACACACATATATATAGTAAAGCAGAATCTATATATAAAGATACATATATTCTGGTGAACCAGAAGGGCAGACCCTGGCAGAGTTAATAAATTGTTCACTAATCTCAAATGATTACAATTCCCTGTGCTTTTGCACTGAAGTTACATGAATTAGTTCCTGCTAACAGAACACGGGTAGAAGTGACATATCTTCCAGGCCTGGTACACAATTATCTCCATGCATGATCTCCATTCTGAGTATGACACAATTACAGAACCAAATGGAAATAAGAAGACAAACACAGTAAAGTTTTTCTTAAAAAATAGTAAAATACACACATTCCTAACACCTAATATGATTAGTACCCATTGCATTGACATGGAAATAATTAAGATAAGGGATGTTTTACCCAATCTGACCACTCTCTGCCACTTTCAACACCTACTATAATAAGGAAACTATCCCCAGCTTTACCCAGCTCTGCCTGTGCTTCAGCACTCTCACCTCGAGTGCTGGTGTAGCCCAAGGAGCTGCTGACTTCATACTGGTGCAGGTGGGGATGTGGGATCATCAGGATGTTGGCACTTTTGCCCAGGGAACTGTCGTCAGAAGCCTGGCTTCTTACTTCCTCAGTGGGTAGTGCACGGCTCGGAAGGGAAGGACTGGATGAGACATCACAAGAGCTGGCACTCTTGCGATTGTGATTCTCCCGCTCCCGCACAGACCTGCCAGGTAAGAGAAAACTCACCACCAAGCAAGGGCTCCTATCTCATCTCAAGTTAAAACTCCAAAACCCATCACCTACTCAATGTACTTAAAGAAAGTATTTTCTACTCAAAGAAAACCCAATGTCATGGATCAGAGGTGTTGCCCTTAGCTGTCTGATATGTAGTATAAGAAAGGGGAGAGGGTCTGGGGTTGTGGCTCAGCGGTAGAGTGCCCGCCTAGCACGCGCGAGGCCCTGGGTTCGATCCTCAGCACCATGTAAAAATAAAGAAATAAAATAAAAGTATTGTGTTCATCTACAACTAAAAATTAAAAAAAAAAGAAAGAAAGAAAGGGTAGACACATATGCCAGTTTTCAAATAGCAGAAGTCCGGGGATCACAATTGTAAAGAAGTGATTACTCCAGTCTGACACCACTGATCAATCTTACATCACTAGAAGTGGAATAATAGGACAAGATGCCAGGTGATACAAGAAAAGATACACAGTGTCAGCTCAGAAATTTTCTTGTCTTACAAATGGAACCGAAATATAATCAAGCTTTTAGAGCTAACTGCCAGTTTACAAAAATTCAGAGAATAGAGGAAAAGTTAATATTATTTTTTAAAAATTAGCTAAATAAAAAAAGCAAAATGTTCTACTGTCACTAAAAGAGATATTATGACCAAATGGAATGTGTGAATCTTGGTTAGATCCTAATTTAAACAAACTAATTGCAAAAAAAATTTTTGGAGAAAACGAAGAAATCTGAATATGGACATGAAAGATTAAGGAATTGATATTAATTTTGATACTAAAGATAATGGTACTGAAAAAATATTTTCAAAAACTTCTTTATTAGGGATATGTACTGAAGTACATTCAGGTGGAGAAACAGGCCTGGTGTTTGTTTTAAAATACTCCAGTAAGCCAGGAATGGTGGTGTATGCCTATAATCCCAGAAGCTGGGGGTAGGAGATTACAAATTTGAGGTCAGTCTAAGGAAATTAGAGAAACCTGTCTCAAAATTAAAATGGCTGAGGACATGGCTCAATGATAGAGAACCCCTGGGTTCAATTCCTAATACCACCAAAAAAATTAAAACACACGAGTCAAAATTGTGGGGGGAAAATGATAAAACAAGATGGGCAACATGTCAATAATTGTTCACGATACTAGTCTATTTGGGCATGTTTGAATATTTTCTTAATTAAAACATTAAAAACAATATACTCATTAAAACATATAACTCCCTAAGGGAGATAAATCTCAAGAAACATAGTTAGAAAGATGAAAAGAAGAAAAAGAGAGAAGCCTAACAAGGAAGTGAACTCTTACAATTAAAGTATTATCTTACCAATAGGACACTTGGCATCAGAGCTGTTTCTTTCAGCCTGGAAGAATTTTGTCTTAAATCAGAGCTTAAACAGAGCCAAATTCTGACTACATGTTCATTGCTTCAAAAGTAAAATTTTTTCGTACCAGGGATTGAACCCAGGGGTGCTCAACCACTGAACCACATCCCCAGTGCCATCGTACCCAGCTCAAAAGTAAAATATTTGAATACTAGTATATGTTTACCACATGAGAGAGAGAAAACAATTAAAGCAGTCTGTAGCCAGGCACAGTGGCACATGACTGTAATGCTAGTGGCTCCGGAGGCTACGACAGGAGGATCACAATTGCAAAGCCAGCCTCAGCAACTTAGCAAGGCGCTAAGCAACTCGGTGAGAACCTGTCTCTAAATAAAACACAAAACAGGGCTAGGGATGACTCAGTAATTGAGTGCCCCTGAGTTCAATCCCCTGTACTCAAAAAAAATAAATAAATAAAAAGGTTAGGGGTAAACCTAGCAGTTCAGGAGGCTGAGGCAGGAGGATGGTGAGTTCAAAAAAAAAGCCAGCCTTAGCAAAAAGCGAGGCTCTAAGCAATTCAATGAGATCCTGTCTCTAAATATAAAATGGGGCTAGGGTACAGCTCAGTGGTCAAGCATCCCTGAGTTCAACCCCCAGTGCCAAAAGGGGCGGGGGGGCGGGGCTGAGGATGTGTCCATTGGTGCTCTGTACTATTTTTCTTTCAAGTTCCTTAAATTTTGCTGCTATCTTTATTATTATCTTCTGCAAGCTTTTTTTTTAATTTTCTATTTGTTCTTTTTATACATGACTGTAGAATGTATTTTGACGTATCAAACATATGGAAGCTTTGATTTTAATTTGGTCTTCTTTTTCTAGTTTCTTAGAATGAAAATTGAGGTTATTGACTTGAGACATTACTTTTTGTTCTCACATAGGCATTTAGTGCTATATATAAAGTTCCCTTAAACTGTTTTAACTGCATCATGCAAACTTCATGTTATATTTCTGTTTTCATTCAGTTAAAAAAAAAAATTCTAATTTTACTTCAGACTTTTCCTTTTTTTTTATACTGGGGATAGATCCCAGCAGCATTCTATTATTGTGCTATATATCCCCAGTCTTTTTTATTTTTTGAGACAGGATCTCACTGAGTTGCCCAGACTGACCTAGAACTTGCAATCATCTTGCCTCAGCCTCCAAGTTGCTGGAATTATACCTGTGTCCCATAGATTATTTAAAAGTGCGCTTAGTTTCCTAATATTTGGGGATTTTCTAGTATCTTTCTGTTAAGAATTTCTGGTTTATTTCATTATGGATTAGAGAATAAGATACAGTATAATTTCAGTCCTTTTAATTTTTAAAAAAAATTTTTAGTTGTAGATGGACATAATACATTTATTTCATTTATTTATTTTTATGTGGTGCTGAGGATCGAATCCAGTACTTCATACATGCAAGGCAAGCGCTCTGCCACTGAGCCACAATCCGGCCATCAGTCCTTTTAATTTTAAGGTTTGGTTTATGGCCAGAATATTTCCTGTCTTATAAATGTTCCACATTTACCTGAGAAATGTGCATTCTGCCAGCTTACATTGTTATTTACAGTTACAATTAATGAAGCTTCTTATTATGGAACAGAAGGGAAAGTCATTGAATTTTTAAGATAAAAAAAAATTATTTCTGGGCTGGGGATGTGGCTCAAGCGGTAGTGCGCTCGCCTGGCATGTGTGCGGCCCGGGTTCGATCCTCAGCACCACATACAAACAAAGATGTTGTGTCCGCCGAAAACTAAAAAATAAATATTAAAAAAAAAATTAAAAAATAAAAAAATAAATTATTTCTGAATTATGAGTTCTCTCAGGCCATGCCCACAGACTTCTGAAGTACTATTCACTGTTGTATAAAAAGTTTACAGGTACTTTCAAGCCTTAGGAAGAATTACCATCTTCACATTGTCACATATATCAGAATCATGGCAGAGACAGTTAATGCAGATTCCTGAGTTCTCTGCCTAGAAAATAATAGCTAGCATTTATTAGATACATTTTTCATGTAATATTTCATTTATGCTTTACAAACATACCTATAAGACAGCACCATTTTACAAATGAAGAATGTGAAGTTACTTAGCTTATAAGTGAAAAAAAATCAGTATTGAAAAAAATCAGTATTGAAACCCACCTTTAGTAGGCACAATGGTGCACACACTCAGAAATTTGGGGGTATGATGCAGGAGGATGAAAAGTTCAAGGCCCACCTCAGCAACTTAGTAAGACCTTAAGCAACTTAGCAAGACCCTGTCTCAAAATAAAAAGGTCTGGGGATATTTCTCAGTGGTTAAGCACCACTGGGTTCAATTCCTGGTACCAAAAAAAAAAAAAAAATCAAGCCTATATAGCTGAGTATAGTGGTACACCCTGTAGACCCAGCTATTTGGGAGGCTGAAACAGGAGCATTGCCTGAATCCAGCAGTCTGAAATCAGCCTGGGCAACAGAGTGAGACCTCATCTCAAATAATTAAAATTAGGGTTGGGATTGTAGCTCAGTGGTAGAGTGCTTGCCTCTGCACACATGAAACACTTGATTTGATCCTCAGCACCACAAAAAAATAAATAAAGTATCCATTTACAACTAAAACAAAGAAGTTTTTTAAAAAATATTTCTTTTTTAATTTTTTTGTTTTAGTTGTTGATGAACCTTTATTTATTTATTAATTTATATGTGGTGTTGAGAATTGAACCCAGTGCCTCACCCATGCTAGGCAAGTGCTCTACCACTGAGCTACAACCTCAGCCCAGTTATTAAAAAAATATTTTTAAGTAAAATAATAAAGACTCAACCAGGCATGACAACAAACACCCATAATCCCAGCTACTCAGGAGTCTGAGGCAGGAGGATCACAAGTCCAAGGCCCACCTGGACAACTTAGTAACATGCTGTCTCAAAATACCATAAACAAAGATCAGGAATGTAGCTTAATGAAACAGCACCTGCCTAGTATGCACAAGGCCATGCATTCAATCCCCAGTACTGTTTAAAAAAATAACTTTTAATATAAAGACTCTGAAGAAAAGCCCCTGTCTCTAAAAAAAGCATTCACTTGTAGCAAAGCTGTTTGTCAAACTTATCTTGAGCTCTAAACATTCTCAGGAATAGATATTACAATGGGATGAAGGAAAAGAATAAAAAGCAATCATGTGGTCATTATAAACTCATTTGCCTCAAAAATCAAGAGACATAATATCCTTCTAATCAGCTGTGCTTAAATTTGCAGATTTAAGATACCTGAGCTAGGAATAGAGGTGCATGCCTGTATAATCCCAGCTTCTCAGGAGACTAAGGTAGGAGAATCTCAAGTTGAGGCCCGCCTTGGCAACCTAGCAAGACCCTGTCTCAAAATTTTAAAAAATATGGACAGGAATGTAGCTCAGTGCCAAAGGGCTTGCTTCACATGCTCAAGGTCCTAGTTTGAGCTCCAGTACCAAAAAAAAAAAAAAGAGTAAGGGGAAGGGGAGAAGGAAGAGGGGAAAAAAAGAAAGAAATCTGAAAAATAAACTGGTATGATCTGGTCAAATGGGGACAAAAAATAAGCTAGATTTCTATTTTATACATTCACTTTAAAAATCTACATAAAGAACTAAAATAAGCATAAAATACAAGACTATCAAGTATATGAAGAAAATACAAAATACATATCTATAATTTGGGGTAAATAGGCTTTATACAAGATCAAAGTCGTTGTATCTAGTTCTATCACAATCAGAAACTGCTATATAACCAAACACCACAGAAAAAATATAACAAACAGGAATTAAAGAAAGAAAAATTCATGTGTTCTTGCAATAATAAACTTATAATAATCTGGGCCCAGGAATATATCTTAGTGCCAGGCCAGTAAGATGATCATTCTGGAATTTATGAATGTTTGCTTTGATTAGAAAAAGCCTAAGGTGGGGGTGGGGCTGGGGTTGCCGCTTGGCGGTAGAGCACTTGCCTAACACATTCGAGGCACTGGGTTCGATCCTCAGCACCACATAAAAATAAAATAAAGGTATTGTGTCCAAGTACAACTTAAAAAAATATATTTAAAAAAGCCTAAGTATCTTCTTATTTTAAGACACTACTTCATGGCAAACAAAATGGCTAGGCCAAAGAACTGGAAAACCAAATCCCTAATGATCTGCCTGGCACAGCTTCTATTTGGCTAATTTTATTTTTTTTTTTAAGAGAATTTTTTTAATATTTATTTTTTTTTAGTTTTCGGTGGACACAACATCTTTGTTTGTATGTGGTGCTGAGGATCGAACCCGGCCGCACACATGCCAGGCGAGCGCGCTACCCCTTGAGCCACATCCCCAGCCCCTATTTGGCTAATTTTAATTAAAACATTTTCAAGGTTGCTCTCACAAAGGTCCGTATTAGACCTCAGGTTTTCCTAAATAACTTTTATATAAACCCCAAGTGAATCAGCTGAAAACCTGCAGGTGGCGAGGCGCTGAGCCCGGGATGGGCCAGGCAGCCTGAACACTTGAGCATCGTAGGCATCATAATCTACTTGGATTGGAAGGGCATTCTCAGATTCTTTTGGAGTCCCAAGAGCTGAAATACACAAATAGTACAAACTGTCACCCAAAGACATTTCACACATTTCTTCACCAACATCTGTGAGACACTAGGTTCATCATCTACCTCTGAGAAAATGGAGATAATAACCCATTGATAAGGTTGTTAAGATGAAATGACTTTTAAGTTAAAGCAACAAAGAAATAGTACAGAACTAAATAAAGGCAACTTATTGGTAGCATTTCATTCCTATGTGATCCCTGTTAAAAAATATCAACCAGGGCTGGGGTTGTGGCTCAGTGGTAGAGCACTTGCCTAGCATGTATAAGGTTCAATCTGGGTTCGATCCTCAGCACCATACAGAAATATATAAGCAAAATAAAAATATTGTGTACATCTACAACTAAAAACAATTATTTTTTAAAAACTACATATCATCTTATATGTTTAATGCTTTAAAACTTTCTACCTGATCTCTACAATTGACCTGTGGAAAACAAAAAAAAAAGATTTGGTCATCATCCAACTTGCAATTGACATGACAAAAATACAAGGTGGCTAAGAGGTGACACAAAGGGAATTCAGGTCTCCCAACTGTTCAGTGAATTTTCTTAAGCAATTTCATATAATTTTGTCACCATGGGTTAGCTCTTTCTAAAAGTGATGAAAGAAGGTCTCAAAAAATGTCAAAGGACTTAAAATCAGCATACTACAGTAATATAGCCACATCAAAGTTTACAGCAGCTCAATTCACAATAGCTAAACTATGGAACCAACTTAGATGTCCTTCAAGAGATGAAAGGATTTTTAAAAAATGTGGTATATATACTCAATGGAATATTACTCAGCTTTAAAGAAGAGTGAAATTATGGCATTTGTTAATAAATGGTTGGAGTTGGAGAATATCATGCTAAGCGGAATAAGCCAATCCCACAAAACCAAAGGCCAAATGTTTTCTCTAATATGTAGATGCTAATTCACAATAAGGCACTAGAGAAGAATACTGTTACCTTAGATTAGGTAGAGGGAAGTGATGGGAGGGGAGGGAAGGGGATTGGGGATAGGAAAGATAGTAGAATGAAATAGACATTATTACTTTATGTATGTATGTGACTGCATGACCAATATGATTATGCAACATGTACACTCAGGAAAATGAGAAATTATATCCCATCTATGTATGACATATCAAAGTGCATAAATGCATTCTATTGACATGTATAACTAATTAAAACAAATTTAAAAATTAATAAAAAATACTCACATGTATCACGTCCATTTTTTGCTTTTTCAGAGGCAGGCTATAAAATTTAAAAGATTTAATCACTCTCCTATGCCAGAATAGAACATCTCACAAAGTATAGTATATATATGGCTGCTCCCAGGGCAAAGACAATGTCTCAACCCTTCCTATAACTGATGGGAAGGCAGGAAGCTAAGATCTGACACCCACCTTACACAGCATCAGACCTGGCAAGATCCAATACTTCCCACCTCAAATCTGATTAATTCTTACCACCCCAACCACTGGTGGAACTGGCCCCATTTCAAAGGAGAGTATACTCAATTCTATAAAGAATAAGGAATTTGGGCTGGAGTTGTGACTCAATGGTACAGCCTTGCCTAGCACGCGTGAGGCAATGGGTTCGATCCCCAGCACCTCATTTTTTAAAAAGTAAACAAAATAAAAGCATAAAAAAAATTTAAAAAAAAAAGAAGAAAAAGGAATTTGCCCAAAGTCATACAATCAGCAGGTGGCAGAGTCAAAATACAAACCCAAATTTTCAGACTTATGTTCAATCCACTGCTATATTTGTTCTACCTTGGCTAGGTCCCACCTTGAACCCTGCATGCTTCCCCTCCTCCATGACACCATCACCTGTCTGTCTACACCCACCAGAGCAGAGCACTCCAAACATTGTCCAATTTGCTGAAACGGAGTACAAAGGTGGAGGAGAAAAACTGATAGCATTATCACTTTTATTGTTTGTTTGGGAGTAATGGGGATTGACCCCAGGACCTGTGCATGCTACACATGGGCTCTACCACTGATTTACATACCCACTCCCTGCCTTATTATATGTTTATCTAATACAGAAAGTTATAACATTCTTTTTTGTTTTTCTCCTGCATTACTAAGGATAGAACTTGGGCTCACACATGATAGGCAAGTGATCTACCAATGAACTATATCCCCAGTCCTTTTTGTAAATTTTGAGACAAGGTCTTGCTATGTTGCCCAGGCTGACCTCCAACTTGTAATCCTCCTGCCTCTGCCTCAAGAGTAGGAAGGCTGACAAGTATGTGCTACCACACCCATTCAAAAATTGTATAATTCTAAGGTAAATTTCTTAAACCCTATTTATGACCATGTGGAGAGATAAAGGTACCCCAGAATCATATATTATAATTACATTGATGTGTGACAGTTCCCAAAAGTTCTGAGGGTTTGATGACACCTACCTTCTTTCCGGCCAGTTTAATTCGTGGGGTGAAACTGTTACAAAAAAGCTGGCTTTTGGATGTGTAGAAACTATTAAAAAAAAAAAAAAGTAAACAGGGTCATTAATCAAAACCTTAAGACACAGCTGTAATCCTAAGCATGGACCTGCTCTCCCATGATTGGCACTGTTTTTAGGCTTCACTGAACTTTCATATTCTAACTTCTTTTGCAATCACTATAAAACACTAATTATGTTTTTAATTATTCTATAACTTTTTTCCCATAAGTTGTTTCATGTGTGCTAATCCTATATGCTAACTATAATTGGATCAGAATTTCCTCCTTGTGGCAGGGATTAAATCTATTTACCCCGTGATACTTTTCACCTTGATTTTTCCCATGGATTGGGCACAAGAGAGGTTCTTATCACTCACTCATAGATCAGCATTTAGTAAGCACGAAAAAGCCAGACAAGAAAGGGAAAGGATTAGTTAGTACTCAAGAAAAAGATGGAAGAAACCATCAAATCTTTTTTTTTTTTTTTTTAAAGAGAGAGAGAATTTTTTTTTAATACTTATTTTTTAGTTTTCAGCAGACACAACATCTTTGTTTTTGTATGTGGTGCTGAGGATCGAACCCGGGCCGCACGCATGCCAGACGAGCGCGCTACCACTTGAGCCACATCCCCAGCCCCCATCAAATCTTAATCCCTCTGAAAATAATCTTAATACAGTAATGTCTAAGCACACAAAAAAATAAAAACCAGTTTTGCACTGGGTACACTGAATGAATGAATGAATGAATGAATAAATGAAGGCTATAAAGCCTTTCTATTCCTCAGGTATCTCTTGTATTCTCTTCTATCATTAACTTTTAAATGAGATTTGGAATGGTGACCAATCCACACCTTCCATCAAATCTCTGCAAAAATAAAAAAAATATTAAAAGGCACAATGTTGGCAAATAATCAGTAGACCATGGGGCAATCCTAGTGACATATTAAATACAAGAACATAAGAATGTTACCTGTCATCAGACCTAGGGATTACACCCCTGTGATTTGTCTGTCCCAATGGTATCAAGGAAAGTACTAAGTAGAGTCTGCTACTCTCTTCCCAGACACTAATTATAAAAGATCGGAGTGATAAAGTGATGTCAGCCAGAAGAATGGGTTTATATTAAACTGAACCATATGAAATTGAAATTTCTGAGGGTCAATCTAATATGATTTCCAATGATTGAAAGTAACAGCTACAACTTTGTCATGGACACCCTGTTCAACCCCAGGCAAGGCACTTAACCTCTCTAAAACTCAGCTTTCATTACTATATAATGTGACTGAATGAATGGTCTACAGGATCTCCAAGATAGAGTCCCATTATATCCAGTCATATCCCCTACATCCCACTTGTATAATTCATATATATATATGATATTAATTTACTCTGTGGATCAATTTTCATCATTAGTCTGAAATACTTCAGGGGTACTATGGTCTTACTTAGGAAAATGTGATCAAGTTTACTAAGGCCTCTGGCCTTATCTAGTGGAAACATGTTGCCCACTTACTTCTGAAGAGGCTTTGCTGAAAGAAGAAAACAAATGGCTCCTATAAGCAGTGTCCATCTTTGTACGCTTGTTCCCATCACCAATGGCTTGGGCAACAGGATTAACAGTGAAATGAGAAAAGCAGGTCTTGAGCTACCCCCTACCATTGCCCCTAGTGAAGCTCCCAACATGCAAATCCATGCTATATCATTAGCTGGCAGTAGAGAACCAATTTAGTATGATAAAAAATGTGATAATTCAGGAAACATTCAAGATACTATTAAGTAAAACTTGAGAAAATTACAAAACTTCAATTCATATAAAATTTTGTGAATTTTATAACTAAATTAAAAACCATGAAATACAATGTATAATTAAACAGTAACTTTTTTTTTAACTGAGAAATAAATCTGAAAGGCTATTAAAAAATTCAATTAATTGCCCATTCCTGTAATCCCAGCAACTCAAAGGCTGAGGCAAGAGAATCTCAAGTGCAAGGTCAACTTGAGCAAGTTAGCAACACCCTGTCTCAAAATGGAAACTAAAAAGAATAGGAATGTAGCTCAGTGGCAGAACACCTCTTGGTTTAATTCTCAATACCAAAAAAAAAAAAATGTATAATGGGAACTTGGGGTTGAGCTCAGTGGTAGAGCACTTGCCTATAGCATGCACATGTGATCCCTAGCACTGCAAAGAAAAAACAAATGTTATCACATCATCTTATAAAACTAATCCTAAGGAGACCCAACATGGCGGCAGGCGCGGAGAGATCAAGTCTCTGACCTCTTCAGCTGCGCGGGCATAGGGAGTCTAAACCGTCTAAATGCGGTTTGCTCAGGATTACTAGGCAATGCTGAGCTGACGTGGATCTGGGGCGAACAGTCTGGGCCTCTCAGAACACACACCAAGCCCGGATCGGCTGAATTCAAGCTCCCATTCACCTGCGTCTCGCAGACAAACTGCAGTGACTCAGCACTAAACGATCCCCCTGAAACAACTGGTCGGCCCTTCTGAACCTACGGAGGTTAATACCAACCGAGCCTTCATAGGCAGTGGCCACGGGATTGAGACGGGGCTTGGGAGAGCCAGTCAGGATCCACCCGTTGCATTGGTCACCCGGCAAAGAGAACGAACTGTCGCCATTTGCATGGGATACCACCATGGCAGAGAACTGACGTCACCAGAATGCGGCGGAGGAGATAACTTCATTGAAACTGGCGGTGACAGGTGTGTAACCCCCTAGCCCTCCCTCTCCACACAGAGGGGAAACCTTAAGGGCCCTTCCCAGCTCTCCAATGAGCGTGATAGTCAGACCGAGGGAATCAGGAGTGGCGCGGAACCCCCAGCTACTGCTCCCACCAGTGCTGACAACTGAGGTCTCTGGCACCAGCTACCAGGGGCGTGGCTACCAGAGGGCAAGTAAAATTCAGCCCCAAGCTCCACAAGGGAATGGCAAACAGGGAGAGTGTGCCCAGTCGTTCAAGAAAATAGGGCTCCCAGGAGCAGTAGACCTGGCGTGTAGCCAGTATTGTGGTGAGCGTCACCGGTGAGCGGGGCCTGGCTTGAGGAAAAGTGGGGAAGTGACTAGACACAAGAGAAGGCCCTAGGCACTCAGGATTGGAGACCCGCCCAGTCTGGGAGGAGGAGCTACTGCACAGTGATTAGTTCCCGCGTATTGAGAGGAGAAGCTTGGCCTGGTGGGCACAGCTCCACCTACTGGAAGACAAGTTAATTAAACTCTAAGACTGCATTTATTAAATTTTGTTGGAGGGCGGTTCATTTTCATTTTTTTTTTATTTTTTAAATTTTTTTATTATTTTTTTAATTTTAATTTTTTTTGATTATTTTTTTTTCTTTTCTATTTTTTTCTTTTGTCTTTTCATTTCTTTTCAATTTCCTTATTCCCCCTTCCTTGAATTCTACCTGCTTACTCTCATTCTCTTTAGTGACATCTTCCCTTCCCTTCTAATACCTTTCCACCCAAGCATCAAATAAATTTATAGGAGTAAACAGTAACTCAGCAGTCAAACAGAAAAGGAAGTAACATGAGCAGCATGAAAAAGCAAGGAAGAAAAGGAGTAGAAACAATGCAGGACAGCCTAATTATTCAGGAGGACCTACAGGCATCAGAAAAATGGTCAAATAAAGAACTCAAGGAATACCTAATATAAATGGAATGGAATCTTAAAGCAGACATGAGACAGTAAATTCAAACAATGAAAGAACACATTGAAAATGAATTACATAAACAGATAAAAGAAGCAAATAAGCATCTTTATCAGGAGATAGAGATTCTAAAAAAAATATCAAACAATAATCCTAGAAATGAAGGAAACTATAAACCAAATTAAAAACTCAAATGAGAGTATCACTAACAGAGTGGAGCAAGTAGAAGCCTTGAAAAGAGTCTAGCCAACTCAGAAAGGCTGGTAAGGAATCACGAGAAAAACATCCAAGAGATATGGGATAACATAAAAAAAACAAACTTAAGAGTCATCGGGATAGAAGAAGGTATAGAGGTTCAAACCAAGGGAATGAGCAACCTGCTGAATGAAATAATTATAGAAAACTTTCCAGAAATAAAAAAGGAAACGGATACACAAATTGTAGATGCATACAGGACACCGAGCATACAAAATCACAGTAGACCAAAGCCAAGACACATTGTTATGAAGATATCCAATATACAGAACAAAGAGAAAATATTAAAGCTACAAGAGAAAGGAGGCAGATTACATTCAGGGGTAAACCAATTAGGTTAACAACGGATTTTTCATCACAGACACTGAAAGCGAGAAGATCCTGGAACAACATATTTCAAACACTGAAAGACAATGGATGCCAACCAAGAATTTTGTATCCAGCAAAATTAAGCTTCAGGTACAACAACGAAATAAAAATCTTTCATAATAAACAAAAGTTAAAAGAATTTGTAGCCAGAAAACCAGCACTGCAAAGCATCTTGAGCAAAACACTACACAAGGAAGAAATGAAAAACAACAACCAAAACCAACAGTGGGAAGTACCTCAGTAAAGACAGAGGGCGGGGGAAAGCTAATCATGGAGAAACAAACTAAATTTTAAAAAAAGATAAATAATCAAACATGGCTGGAAGTACAAACCATATATCAATAGTAACTCTAAACATTAATGGCTTAAACTCTCCAATAAAGCAACATAGGCTGGTAACATGGATTAAAAAAACAAATCCAACAATATGCTGCCTCCAGGAGACACATCTGATTGGAAAAGACATACACAGGCTGAAGGTGAAAGGTTGGGAAAAAATATACCACGCACACGGTCCTCGTAAGCAAGCAGGGGTGGCCATCCTCATATCGAATAAAATCGACTTCAACACTAAGTTAATCAAAAGGGATAAGGAAGGACATTATATACTGTTAAAAGGAACCATTCATCAACAAGACATAACAATTATCAATAATTATGCACCAAATAATGGTGCTGCGACGTTCATAAAACAAACTCTCCTCAAGTTCAAGAATCAAATAGAACACAACACAATAATTATGGGTGACATC